AAGGATTCTATGATTCTATGTGTGTTTAAGTTACGATTATTTCTACTGTAGCTCATGATATTTCTGTGCTAAAAGGCTAAGTACCTAAAAGTATGGGTTTGTTTTTTTGGTGTATGATAAATTTTCAGCACCATACCATACTCTGCCCAAACAGAGTATTTAAATGACATGTTTCACTATCTGTACTGGAGTAATGTGTAAATACAGAGAAGCTGGGAAATCAAAAAAGTCTAAAAAATGGAGGACAACCCCTCCTACTCCATCAAAAGACTTTGAGTAATGGGAAATGCTGCTCTCTGGGCAGCTGGAGCTGAAGAACTCAGTTACATGAGTTGGCAAGAAACACACCTTTTAAATCAAAGGAGAACACAGAACAGTATAGTTCTACAGAAAAGACGTAACGCTAAAAAGGCCTTTACCCAAAACTCTTACTCAGAAGAGTAATGGAGAGGCTGACAGACAGGATAACATGTGGGTGTCCGTGAATCTGCCTAGCGGGGTATTTTTTGTGATCTGTCTGAACTAGACCATTTTTCTTGGAAACTGCTTTTTTTTTAACAAAATCTTACACTGTTTGTGTCAAGCATCAGGCAGGTTTGTAGAGATAGATGTACCCACACAAATGAAGCATTAGGTAAGAATGTGTTTACTTTCTTGTGGGTGGTGTGAGGCGGCTTGCAGGGGAAATCACACTTTGCAGAATAAGAGCTGCTCACACAAAAGGTGGAAAGGAAAGTTAGCCTGTTCAGCCCAACTTGGGCTAAAATTGCTGTGCATACACTGGGCAATCTCTGCTTATGCAGAAGCTGTTCAGGAGAGTGGCAATAGCCTGCAAGAACAGTACTGAGCCAAATTAGGTTTCTTGAACTTGAGGTGATTTGATGACACTCAGCATTTCACAGATCAGACCCTTAATTTGGCTGACAAGTTTAGCTGAGTTAGTGTTAGAAGATTAGATCACACTGTGGCCTAGACAGTTGGAAAGCAGCTCATCTGAGTGTGGGGGCTGATGCAGTAGAGCAACACGGCAGCACCCTTACGAGTCCAATGTCTTCCAGTGCCATGTTACTATAATAGTTAAACGTGATCACATGAAAAAAAAAAAGGACTTGGTAAGATGTGACACCACGTATAAATTACTGTATTTCCTCAGTCATATTAACATTACAGAGGAATGTTGTGTAGACAGGCAGAAAATATACTTTAGGTTTTCACAAAGAATTTTTTCCTTCTGGAAAAATAGTCACAGCAAATGATTTCAATCTAGCCAGTCAGGCTGTTCCCCTGATGAAGTAGTTTACTTCTTTGGGCTGTTGCATAGTGGTTGAATAGGATCCCCTGTCATAAGCCTGCCAGAAGCTGAACTTTCACTTTACCTTCCTCATTAAGAAACTGAATTTAGCCCTTACAACTTTTTATTTTTTTTTTTTTCTGGTTGTGACACTAAAATTAATTTCACTTACTCTTCTGTTTGTGGTAGTGCCTCATAAATGGCTGCCGAGGGAGCAGGATAACCACAGAGCTGGGAAGAAGTAACAGGGTTTGCTGTTTTCTCCCAGCTTACAGTGACCAATGACATGTCCTCCCTCCATTTTTGTCTCTGATGTGTCTAATAACTTCTAAGCCACTATAAATTTCAGGTGGTCACAGCATCCTGTGGAAATGAGTTGTAGAGCTGAGCAAGACTAGTATAAAACCCCTCTTTTTACTTGTTCTGAATGCACATTCTGGTTTTGTTCAGTGCTTTCTGATGCTTGTTTGAGGAACACTGAGCAGTATGTGTCTAATCTCTGTGGTGTTTTCAGTTTTATAGGTTCTACTGTTTCCCTCTTCAGTCACATAGTGTTCCCTGATCAAAGAACGGATTATCTTCAGCACAATCCATTAGATATGTTTGACCATTTCTTTGTCACATTTATTCGTTCTTGTTTTCCTAGCGCTTTTTTTCCTTTTTTTATTTATCTTTTTGAGAGGAGAGACCAGAATGCTACACAGAATTCAACATAAGGATATCTAACAGTAGCATATGGATATCCTGTGGTCTATCTAATATTTTGCCAATACTAAGTATTGAATTATTGTTTTTTTTCTGATGCTACTAAACACTAAGTTGGTAGGGGGTTTGTGGACCTGTCTGTTGTAAGTGTTAGATCTTTTTTCCTCATTGGTAATAGCTAGTTGACAGTCAGTATTTCTGTTTGAGCAGTTAGGATTGTTTTTTCCTTGTGTTCACCTCTTTCACATTTTAGTATGTTTGCCCCCCATTGTTTGCTGTAGAAATATTTCAACTTTAAACTTTTAAAAATTTGACCTGTGAAGCGGAGGGGAATGGATCACTTGTTTTTAAAACTCTAAATTGAATGAAAGTGTTTAACTTAAATAAGCTTTAGAAGTACTGAGGGATGCAGTCAATTTTTGTTTTACAAAAGAACTGTGCTGGAAAGTTAGACAAAGAAGTTAGCTCTAGAAACTTCACAATCTTCCTGCATTAATAATGAGCATAAAGGTGCTGCTGTTCAAGCTAGAAGGATAATATTCATACTCTTCCTCTTAGAAGGAATAACTATATATAAACTCCGCTTTTAATGTGTTTTTGTAATCAGCTTGAAGAGGAGAATGAATAGATCTGTCATCTTCCCTCATCAGCTCTGAGCAAACTAGAAAGCTGCTCTTAATATCTTATAATTGGGAAAATGCAGCTCCTAACTAACAATGTGAGTACAGGAACTCTTTCAGCTGTCAAACCCACAAGGAGGAGGCAATAACACTGTTCAGGTTCACGGAGAAGGTAAAATGGTGTTTGAAAGAATTACTCTCTATGTTTTTGCAAGAATGCAGTGCAGTGTGCAGCAGAGCAAAAGAGATTATATTGTCTGAATTTTTTCAGGGAGATCAAGAAAATTTTTGACCATCATATGCTTAATTTTTTTTCACGTGTAACAGATAATAAATAACATATTATCATACAGATGTCATCTGCTGTGCTTGTGTGTGTGTTACCTTTGTTTCTTCCTTGTGCTCGGTGTCCATGTGTTTCCATTGATATCACACATGGTTGAAATAGATTCCCAGAGATGACATTAATTTATCTGTCTCTTTGCTTTTCTGTTTCAGGGTGTTCTTGAGAGCAATCAACAAATTTGCAGAGACAATGAACCAGAAATTTCTTGAGAATATGAATTTTGAAGTTCAAGTAAGTATATAGGTTTTCATCTGAGTTGAGGTAGCATGTGCAGTTGTGATCATTCTAGTCTGTCAGACTCTCTGCTGGTACTTTATATCAGTATCAAAATGACTGTTGATTTGGGTGTGACAGGATTGGGCCATCTTTGGCATGATGTGAAAATCTTGCTTAGGTTATTTATAAAGCACCCAAACAGTATTTTGTACTGAGATCGTCTCAGCTGGTGAGACAAAAACTTTCTTTTCTTAGCCAGCCAAGTGTATTGAGAAAGTCAATCTTTGATGTAATGCACGTAGCCTTTACAATGTCACTCCTGTGTATGTAGGGCAGAAAGAGCTTAACTTGGATTCCTAGAGTATTTAGCACTTAGAATTTATTTTTATTTTTAACTTGTAGTCTTCTGTGATAAGTCTGTCTTAATTTATTTTCCCCGTTTTCTTGGTAGTAGTTCTTTCTGAAATAATTTTAAATTAGAGTTGGATTTTTTTTGTTTGCTCAATATCATTCTTCATAACTATTTAGTAATGCATTTTACTGTTTTTGTCTTGTTTCAGATAAAAGCCTGTAGTTTTCATATTCAGTAAATTATTATTAAAATGTAAATACTGTTTTACTGCTGCCTGATTATGCTGCACGGTACAGATAGAAACCATGTAAATGAAGTATAGTATGAAAAATTATTCTGTTTTACTCTTTACATTAACTGTAGTTAAGAGTAAATGTTTTAAGTTCAAAAATGCTTCCCAAGTACAAAAATTGTATCTTCAAAAGGTGTGAATCTACAAATGTATGTATGTATAATGTTAAGGTTTTTGAATTACAGGGAAAGATGTTTCTTCTGGCAACCCTAACATTTCTTTTTAGTAAATATCCCAGCTGGAAACTCTTAAATCCTTGGCATATTTTTGACATAATCTCTTAGGCTATATCAATTTATTAACAACAAATTTATAGCCTATCATTTCTATATCACTTGATCAATTTTACTGCACAGTGTGGCAGTAATTTTTCAAATCAAATAAAATAGGTCTGGTGGACATCAGTACATGTAGGCTACCAAAAGCATGTGGACGACTGAAAAGACTGTGTATCTGTCAAAATTTCATTAGGGTGTACACTGGCTTTTTCAAGTCTTAATCTTAAAGCAGCAGTCCAAACCTGGAACTTGTGCTTCAAATGAGCTTCCTGTGGCAGTTCCGTGCCTTCCAGAATGTTATCATGCAAACAGGGATGTTGTAGTTGGAAGCTGAACGTATTAATGTTTGCTCTTTTGTTCCTGCCTTGTCAAATATCTGGAGGCTTTGAGAAAGCTAAACAACATTCTAGTAAATAAGTAGTGCCACCTGAAGGACTGTAGTGCCCTTACACTTTTCACAAGAGACTTAAAAGTACAAGGGAGACGGCTTACTTCTGTTCCATGAATAAAAGCTCTGAAAACCTTCTAAGAGTACCCTAAATAAATCTGTTTAAAAAGCTGTTATGGGACTAAAGGACTGTTGAATAATGCAAAGCATGCTGTCTAATTTTCTTATTTAAAACTTAAATTTCATTTCCCACTATAACCTATACATATTTAGATCATTGATAGCTGAAGATTTCAATATTTTAAAGGTTCTTTTACTGTTTTTCATATTTACTTTTTATTGTTTGTTAATCCATACATCAGTGTCTTGCAAGTATTCAGACTGTAAAAACTTAAAGAAGAGCAATTAAAAATCTTATTGAGCAAAACGAGAAACTTGAGAGGTCCTTTAGTGGAACTTATTCATTTTTTGAGGGCCAGCTTTATCCTAATAATTTCTAATAAGAACTTTGCCTAAGTATTCTAGAGCCATTTATGGTAAGACTAGTCTGTACCTTTCTTAAACATACTATATTATCCTGAAAGTTACAAAATTTTCTTAAAATCATATAAGTATTGAGGTATGATGGACAGGAACAAGGACTGGAAAGAATAAGGAGTGGACAGAAGAGTAACTTCCAGTAATTTTTCTAATAAAAATTTTTTGTTTGAAGTCATAGTTTAAAGCTTCCTATTTTGCAGTATAAATCCACTTCTCTTTGTCCTCTCCTTTCTGGCTGAAAACTGTGGTCTTTGGAGGTGTCATTTTTCATATGGATTGCACTTAGTTGAATTGTTCTGTAATAACATCGTTATTGAAGTAATTTGCTATACCCCCAGAAGTTTTTTTTTTCTGCATCATTAGAACATGAGCACATAACAAAGTGAGACACTATTTATTATTTTCCATACCAGTGTATCTTGGCTTTAAGCAAACGAGGGCAGTGGTTAACTCTAAGTAAATAAGAAACTTGTATACTTTATAAAATTGTTCATTTTACAGTTGCAGTCTCTGGAGCGGTTATTATTTTAGGTTTAATATTTGGTTTTTCTCAGTTGTTTTGGAGTATTTTCAGTTAATAAACAAGCAACTTTTCTTTATGTAGCTGTTGCAGTGCTTGTATATTTTTATTTTAGCAAGTAAGGTACCAACAGGCTAATATCATACAGCAGCTGTTGTTTTAGCTGCTGCTTGGCAAAAGAAAACTCTGAATCAAGGTCACTTCCACTATTTTTTATTCATTCAATCCTTTTTAAGAATTTTTGGGTACATAATAGTGTTGAGAAACTAAAGCAAAACTTTTGAGGTGCAGTTTTTTTTCAAAGGGGAGCAAATCTCTAGGATTTCTTTGAGGTATCTCTATTAAAAAGAAATTTAGGAATTTGAAAGAAACATTTACTTTAATGAAAATAAGCAATACCTCTGTGTTCTATGGGGAATGTATTCACTGCAAAAACACTCTGTAGGTCTGCAGATGGAAACGAACACTGGTAGTAGTCTGTACTACTCAGTTCAAACTATTTTTTAATAAATGTTGTAGTGTAACGAAA